AAAAAAAATAGAAAATGTGTATATATATTTTTTTTGAATTTAAGATTTAGTTAATTAGTTATAGTAGTGTTAAAAAAAATGTCAAATTTGACGAGTCGAGCGACTCGTTTTGGGCGAGCTTGGGCACGAGTTGAGCTCGCCCAAAATTCAACGAGCCACGAGCTCATGTGAGTATGCGGCTCGCCTCATTGACACCTCATGTTTTCAAGGGTTGTAATAACCGTGTATGTAATATTCTTGTGTTGATGGGCAATTGTTGGAGGTAATGGACTGGCGATAATGATGATATAATGATGTAACAATTTTAAGTTACAGTTGTAAATAATTATTAAGAATCTATTTTAGCCTCATTTTTTCTTAAGAATACATTTTAGAGCAATAGATCGATGGAGACGTGCAGTTGAAAATAAAGAAAAATTATAGATTTGCGCGTAATATTATTTTATTGAAAAATGTGTAATTGAGAAGAAAATAATGAGAATCAAACATGGGCTAAATATATGGTTCTCAAAATTCGTTTAAAAAATTAAAACTCTATTGCAAAAACAAGAGATTGAAATTACACCTAATTGTTGAAAGAGACTGAAATTACACCTGTGTGTTTGGTGCATATTAAAATCAGAGAATGCATTTTTTAAGTAATTTGACGGGGAATATGTGGTTGAAAAAGAAAGAAAAGTTATTGATGTGATAGAAAATATTATTTTATTAAAGAGTGTGTGGTTAAAAATGAGTAGAAGAATGAGAATTTAAAAAATATTGTGACTCAGACAGCGGCCTAACTTTTGAAATTGGACATCATATATTCTATAGCCTTTTTCTCCGTCATTGTTCAATACTCGTATTCATATCATCCAACGAATCAAAATCTATCACATGGGACCTTTATGCCCGTTTGGTGAAAATTAAAATCTAAATCGAAGTTAACAATTGATTTCAACCACATGTTTTATGGGGTCTACAATATTATCAACCACACATCTCGTCACTCCTAGTCAAAATTCACTAAAAATCTAATTTCAATCACCACCAAATAAGGGTAATAGTTATAGTCAAACTTCTGAAGCAAGTTTAATTTAATTTAATGCAGTTTTTTTCCATATTGAGAAACCATTGTCATATATTAAAAAGTCATTTTTCGACGGTAATAAAATTAATATAAAATATCTATCGAACTAAGGACGCGTGAAATTAATACAGTAGGTAATGTACGTGTTTATATCTTAATATTTGTAGATTATAATTAATAATAAATTTTATGACAGTTGACAAACAACATCAATAAAGAGGATGTTTGATGGGATTTAAAATTAAATTTTTAGTAGATTGTAATAGAAGTATTTAAAATGTGTGGTTGAAAAGTTTTGGGACCCATGAAAGATGTGATTAATATTGATTGTTTGACTTTTACTTGGGTTAAAATCAGATTTTAATTCGAACCAAACACGGACAAGTAAAAAATATATTAGTTACATATTTCATGATATTCAAAGTTTTTCAACCACATGTATCGTCATTTTTTTTATTAAAATGTTAAAAAATATGATTTTTAACTACGTCACGTGTGGGCTAAATTAAGTGTCTGTATTGAAGCGAACAACAAAAATTGATGGCTAAATTTAAAATGTGCAAAAGTTCACCGACTTCACATATCAAAATGAAACAACATTATATTGAGCGAGTAAAGGAGTTTTTGTGAAGGGTAAATCCCTAAATTATAAAAAATAGATATATCGTGCCCCGTTTGATGGGAATTAAAATTAGGTTTTTATTAAATTTTGATATAAATTGATAAAATATGTGACTGAAAACTTGTGAGACTCGTAAAATATTAATTATTGATTTAGATTTAAATTTAAATTGGTGCCAAACAGCGATCATGTGAAGTAATGATAAATAAATATATATTGACAAAACGGCTAGAGCAACCGCACTTTGACTTTTATTTTATTCCGCAAGATCATGCTTTTGCTGCTAGTCAAGTTGATTCAATGTAGTGAGTCGAATCAAAAGAATCAGTAAAGAGGAGTATCGAATTTGACGTTTAAGCAATAAACAGCCATTGTTGTCTTCCTCTTTTTGCTCATGATATTATAAACCTTCTTGATCAAAATACTTGTCTTCCATATCTCGACCCCATATAAAAAAATGCACGATTACTTTACAAACACAACAAAGAAGAAATAACTTAAGTCCTTGTTTGGTGGAATTAAGATCAATTTTTTTAGTAAATTTTGATAAAAGTTGAAAAAATCAGTGGTTGAAAAGTCGTAGGTCCCATTAAATATATGATTAAAATTAATTGTTGGCCATGACTTAGAGATTAAAAATTTAGGGCGTGTTCCATAGAGATTTAAATTGGATTAAAATTGAAAAATTAGCCGTTATTGTTGACTTTTATTAGACGAGCGAGATCTAATAACGGTTATATTTTCAATTTTAATTGAATTTTAAGCTTGCGCAAACATGCTCTTAATTTTAATTTTCACAAACAGATGCTAAAACTTTTCACTTGACTCTATTAAATATATTTAGGCTCCGTTTGACATTCTTATTAAGAGTTAAAAAAACGTTGTTTTGAGTAGTATTTTTTGGAGAATAAATTGTTAAAAAGTGGAAAAATATTACGTGTTTATGTGTGAATATTTTATTGTATGAATGTGATTGAAAATGATCATGTAGCAAAAATAAAAATAAATTAAAAGATGTCAAACATGGGCTTATTGAGATTTACCTTTTAACCGCTATTAGTCAAATATCTACTGTTGTCACTCTTTGGTGTAAATTA